CTTTATACTCGTGACCTTAAAAAATATATACTTTTGAAACAAATCTCATGCATTAGGGTTTCCTGCATTAGGTTTTGCACCAATATCGTTCGAAAAAAGTCTAAAAGTATTAAACGCCAAAGTTCGTCCTCGAGCAAATATTTACGCTGCTATCAAGTTATAAGTGTTTTACGCATTACAACTGAAATGAACCTCGTGTTGAGTATCTTGCAGCGTTTATTATGGTTCTTGTTAATGTTCAGTAATGTTGTAGTTACTTACTTGTGGAAACAACTAGTGCCACAAGGTGTTCATCGCCAGAAGGAGCGGACATGTTTGTTTTGGCTGTTACGAAAACACACCCATCGGACTCTGCTGATCTCCGTGCGTCAGCCCCAGTAAATGACCACGGAAGCGGTGTGTTTGTTGCTCTTCCGGGCTGTGCAAAGGTGTCAGTCCTATTTGTGCTTGCGTAGTTGTAGCAGTTGTTTAACAGCACGTGTACATTATCGTTCCATCTTCCGGGATTATACGTGGGTGCGTAACGTTTTACTCTACTTCTTTTTACGGCTTTGACATTTCCACTCCGAATTTCTTCTTTGACGATGTGGTTGAGACTCGTCGAAATCTTGTTCGGAGGGCTGGTCTGGAGTAAGAGCAGCTGTAACTGCTTTGTTTGAGGACCCACAATCAATACCAATGGCTGGTATTGACCCTTCCTCACCTCCTGTACTACGAATCCCTCGTATCCGAGCTTCGCTGGTGCCTCCTCTGGTTTGTGTTTTTCCGCATCTCTGTAAAGATTTTGCACTTCGCTGAACCTTGGGTCATTCTGTTGAATCGTCCATTGTGGGTCAGGAACGCCGGAGAGTACTTCCAAAGTTATGATGAAACCGTCTTCACCTAAAACAAAGAGAAATCGTATAGGCCATAGGTCTCCGATAAATGTTTCTACTGAGGTCTTAGTTGACTAACGAGATACCTGGAGGTATGCTACTTTCAGGACCATTTCCATCGACAGTGCCCTCCGTTGCATCCTGACCTGATGAAATGAAACAAACGGGCATTATTTACCAGGGTGAACACTGAATACTGAGGTGAGGCAATTGCATCTTCGTATAATGTAAATCCTTCTGGGGAAAGTTTCAAGGTCTTTACATGAAACCACTGCTTCAATTTAGTGCTATGTAACACAATTTTCCTTATGAACCCAATTTAGCAACCCTTAACCCTGCTAACTTTGATAGACTTTGAGGATTTTCACCTCTGGATACCTGTAGCTGTTCCTAGAAAAGAAAGGAATGTGAAAAGCGCCAAAACTGTTGGGGTGTATCGCCCCATGGTCTTCTTGTTTGACTTGCGTCCAACGTGAACCCAGACCTTTGGTCTTAAGAATTAAATGATTATCTATATATGTCCATATACCAGACAGTTTTCTGCTCACAAGTGACATAATGAATATTTGGCATAAGCCGAATAAAGTGTTTCTCCACAGAGTCAACCTGTTACTCAGTATGTTACTTCATGGTTCGTTTACTCCCAAGCAGGTTATGTAAATGAGTCGCCCTACTGGTTTCATTTCTTTTTTGGACTGATTTTAAAGAACAGATCTAAAGTTTGACGTTATTTAATCTACTTAATACTCTTTTTATTCACAAACTGGTTAGAATATCATGTTTGATTTGATTATGAATGCTTCACTTAGGCTAGTAAAACAATAGGGAACTTTCTTCCAGATCTTGATAATTTGACATAATTTTGTCAAAAGATAACGTTCTGAAGCTAATTCCAGGAATAACTGCTAGTAGTACGGTTTTTTAACAGACTCGAGAAAGGTAAAAATAATTTGCATCTAAACTTCTCCCTATAAATAGGTATATCTAAACATTATCGTACATCGCACCTTTCGCAATTCATGCTCCTTGTTCTTTGAATGTGTTGTGAGGGGATTGGACTTTGTAAAATTGACGCGACTCCTTTGATGATTTCTGAAGGATATTGTTCAAACTTTAATTTGATATCGTATCTTGCTTTCTTCTCTTACTCACTTGCTCTTCGTTGCCTAATTTTCATAATAAATAAATAAGGTAAATAGAAGTGACTTCTTTCTTAATCTTGTTTAAATCTTGTCTCTGTTTGTGACATTCTCTCGTGATTAATTTTTAGTACTTTTTTAACACTGTTTGATCTGTTAGCTGTAAAGTGAGGCGCATATGGACAAGATAGTTCTTCATTCATTTTCATCAAAAAATGGCGCTCTTGTCTTGTTTTTCAGTATTCACGAAAGCGTGGTAGCATTTATTTACATATCCTGGAGAAATTTAAAATCGGAGTTAATTATAATCCACCCTGAACTGACGAATGATTTTGACTTTTTCGAATAAAAAAGATCCTTGAGGCACTCGAGCGTGCACATGAATTTTTATGCTTTGATGCATCGAATTTCTGCCTTGATCTAGCTTTTTGGTTACGATCCGTTAAGCTGAAGATTTTTGTAGATACTTAAATCATTTTCGTATACGAATGCCAATCTGTCCTTTAGTTGGATAATGTAATAAAAGCAGTTTTCATTTGAAGCAGACATAACATCTCATAGAAGCTATGCGTAATTTTACGGCATCGTTCTGGCAGGATTCTTCTGACTTACTTTGTATAAGAGGTGAAGAAGATAAGAGATGAACCTTTTGTACTTAATCACAGTGGGCAAAGCTGCCTCTAATTCAAGTATCAATTCAGGTTATGTTTTAGGTGTAAAGTTTGATGTATCAGTCGACTCTTCTTTCCTTTTGGTCTATTGTTTCATCGAACAACTTAGAATTACCGTCCACCTCGTTCCTTGTTTACAAAATTGCCATGCGATTTTTCTCAAAGCGAAAGGATTTGGTTTACTGTGAATACTATCAAACGCTAGGTTTTACTCAAGATTTGAATAAAGGAGAGAGCTTCCAATGATTAAAATTGTAGAAGAGAGTTGTGGAATTTGAAACCTCTTACCACAGGTAGACAACTGAACACACATAGCTTCTCCGTCATTTTTAAATGTTACCGAAAAGATGAAAAGCTACAGTTGACAAATGGCCGTAGGAGTTACCAAATGCTTTGCAAGTGTTAAAACTTCTTTTGACTTGGTAAGACTAAATCGCTGAGAAGTAAGCTACCAGTGTCCTTTTCCATATAATTAACGCCCTCGTATGTATGATAAGTAGAACGATCCTCTTTCCTTATCAGAGTACGTTTATTGTGGTAGTTTTAGAAGTTTCCATTCTTTTCCGGCATTTACCTGGTGAAAAATGTGTGCATAATTTTTTCAAGGTCCCTCAAGAGCATTAAAAAGCAAAACCTCTGGTAAGGCTCGAAATTTGGATTGCAGTTCATGCTTACGTTTTCAGGGTATAAATGTTTGTGCAAATTTCCAGAAAATCTAGCGAAGATCTTAAAGAACCTAGTGGTATTTTAAACAATTCACCTTTCACTAAAGGAGCAACTCTGTTCAAGTTATGTTTTAACAATAGAGAAATAAAAGCAATAAAATTTGTCTGTTTATGCATCGATATTGTATATTATTAAGATCAAGGAAAAAGGTATTGCTACTTTTTGAATTCACTGGCGTTTCTTAGATAGAGACCGAAAAAACATTCATTAAATTCCTGCTACTCATTTTCGGAATCTGGCAAGACACGGGGCGACAACAAAAAAAACGTGCCAAAGTAAGGGAGATGAATCTTTATGCGTATAAGCCGAAGTTCCTCCTTAACATGCGCCAACACAAATAATTATTGTATTTTTTTTAGGGGTTTGAACCCTGCGGCAGACGAGCTCAATCTTCTGAACAGTATAATTTGGATATATCAACAAAGTTGAAATGGTAACGTTGAAATGGTAAAGTTGAAACCGTAACGATTACAAAAGCTGAAGTTTCGAGCGTTAGCCCTTCGCCGGAGCGAATAGAGGAATTGTGGGTTGTGTGTGGTTTTAAAGGCAGAAAATGGAGCTACGTTATTGGTGAGAACATGGCAACGAGAAAAACACGAATAAATTAGTGGAATGAAAAGCGTTCGTTGATCCCTGTGGGATTTAGACTGCCGGTTTGAAAGATGAGCTTTTGTTCAAGAGTTTTACGGCTTTCCGTGCTACCTAAGTGTAAGGAAAGACCGCAGATTGCCATATGTTGCTTAGAATGATTAGGTAAATTAAAATGTCTAGCGACTGGTTTCGATGTGTCCTTGTCATTCCTTTCCACGTCTCGAAGGTGTTCTCGGAATCGGTCACCTAGTCTTCTGCCTGTTTCGCCGATGTATATCTTTTTGCAATAAGTGCAAGTTATGCAATAGATTACATTGGCGGAGGTGCACGTGAAGTGATCGGTGATCTTAATGGATCGTTTAGGTCCCGATATTTTATCAGTGTTGTGAATGAAAGGACACGTTTTGCATCGTGCACGAGCGCATTTAAAAGTGCCTGGTTGGTCATTAGTCTGAAAAGAACTTCTGACCAAAAAATTGCCTATGTTTTTGTCGCGTTTGAATGAAATGAGCGGAGGCTGCGAAAAGATAGTGCTTGTCTCTGGATCGTTTTGAAGTAATTTAAAGTTTTTAAGAATGATGGATTTAACTGAGTGGTTGTGAGGGTGAAACGTGAGAGTGAATGGAATGCGGTCGGAATCTTCCTTATGCGACGTTTGTAGTGCTGAATGTCGATCAATAAGTTGGGCGCGGTGGTAACCCGCTTGAACGACAGAAACAGGGTAACCACGTTTATCGAAAAACTGGCACATTGACTCTGATTTGTGGTGGAAATCAGAGTCATCACTACATAAACGACGAAGTCTTAGAAACTGAGAAAAAGGAATGGAATTCTTAACGTGAGATGGATGCGAAGACGAATATAACAAGTAATTATGCGAGTCTGTAGGTTTGTAATACACACTAGTGCATAAACCGTTACCTTCAATTGAAACTTTGATGTCTAAAAAGGATAAAGAATTGTCAGAAATTTCCCAGGTATATTTCAGAGCCGGGTGAAAAGAATTGACTGCGGTTATGAATTGAGTGAGCTCCTCTCTGGTAGAGGAGGTAGCAGCTACTAGAGGTATTAGGCCAAAATGTACACATATGTGTATGATATGTATCATCAGTACTTAAAAGAAAATTATGTTTTTCAAATTGGTTCAAAATCAAATTGCATAATTAATGTAACACATCAATCAAAGTTCTAATAAAACATCATTGCATGTACTCACTCTTTCTTGTGTTCTAAAACTTCCTCTTTTTAATCATCATCTTTTTCTCTAGGATCTCTGAGCACAAAGTCAACTGTAGAAAAAGATCAAAAAGCACACCATTAACCAATCACAATGCTGGATAGGAAAAATTAGTCACATGCTAATGATACTTGATTATCTTAAATTAAATCACACAACCCGCACTAAATATTCTCCTTATGATGTTGTGTATTCAATGGTTACAGGATGTTAAGTTAGAAAGCATGTTTAATTTTTTGGTTGAATCATTGAACACGAACCAACAAAAAAATTTCTTTTTTCAGTATTAAGCAACAGGTCTTTTAATTTGGAACTAAACAAAACCAACTTTCCACATAAACTGTAATATCAACTGCATACAAAACTGTCTTTCATTCTACATCCAAAATCATTGGTCAGGGGGTTAAAACACAATTCTGTATCGACATATTAAAAGGTGCAATGTATGTGACCATAAATTACACTGAGCACAGCCAGGAAGTGACTGAGGTAAAGGGACCCTGAGTGCCTCAATCACCCAAATAAAGTGTCATGGCATATGAATTAACCATTCAATTACAGTGTTTACTGTATGACAGAGCCAAAGAGAATTTCTAAAAAAGAGAAAACAGATTTTGTACTCACCAATAGCCTTTTTGACACTGAGCAAATAGTCTTCTTTCATTTCATCTGAAAGGTTTTCTATACACAAATCAAGCCCATCCTGAAACCATACAAGGAAAGTATTATTAAATGCAAGAAATAGATATTACAACTGCTGTATATCAAATTATATGCCAAAACCAACTTTACTAGAGCCGCAAAAAACTCAATTAATGCACTTGCATTACTTCTATGCTTCAAACATTTCTGCACACTGCATCCATTAATAAACATGAATTAGAAAATGTACCATATAGTGTACTCAAATATGTTTTGTATATTGTACAGACATGTGCATGACAGAATCTATCCAGCCTCCTTTTTTTAAAGTTGTTCAGATCATTTAAACTTCATTCTGATATAACAGTTTACATGAAATACGTGTGCAAGTTTGTATACAGTCATGTATTCAGGTGATTGATAATTTAGTTATTGCACAAGGTTTCAAATCATATTAATGCTGTTGTACATTACTGTTATAGGATATGCTAATTTAATGATCTAAAATTGTGTACAGATGTACATGCATGAATCTGATAAAAACAAACAAAATGACAGAACAAGATAAAGAAATATGGCTTGAGGACAATCCCAAACATTTACCTTCAACCTTTGAGGAACAAGTTGCAAAACATGATCTAGCCAAGAATCTTCCATAGGTGCCACATGTTCTGTGTCTATTCCATGGTGAATATTATAGTAGTAGTAGTGCTATAGAATTGAAATGAGAATAGTTGGATAATTATGATCAGTTTTGTGTAAATCTACTGAGAATCCATAATCATCTTTATTTTTACCCAATCTGAAGTTTTAAGGAAATGTACTCTTGATTTTCACACTATCATTTGGAGTGATTTATTGAACAATTTATTTAAAGAATTTCTTGAATATGTTGATGTAGACAGTGTTATTTCAAATATGATGCAAATCATCTCATTCTGATCCATGACAAAACCTACTCCCATACACGTCTCTCTTCTTTTCAATACAAAAATTTAATTGTAATTCCACAATGTACTGTTAGGTGAAAATTCAAATTGCACAAACACCATTAGAACCTGAAGATGACATGAGTAAGTTCAAAAACTTTTTTTCGAAATTTTTTTTTTAAACAATAATGATGCAAAATAAATGAAGCCCTCTTATAAATATAGCTCCAGTCATACAGAACATTACAATAACAAAAACATGAATGAGTCTTATTTACAATGACACAAAATGAATTAACATGCTCACCAAAATATCTTTTTCAGCACCAGTTGGGGAGCCAGTTCGCTCCAGGGGAGGAAGCTCTCCTGGAGAGGATGGACGCACAGGAGCTGTACCCTCATTCTGCCTGTATTAAACAATAAACAAGTTTAGGTTAACCCTACTAACTGAAAACACAGTGTTGTTGCTTTCAGTTCTTGTGGCCTGCATATTGACAATTTTTTGCATTATAAGACCAATAGCAACTACTAGTAGATGCAGGGTCAATCTAAATAACTATAAAACTAAAGTAAGTGATTCTTTAGTAATTTTAGCCAAATGTTTCTGCTCTACATGCTCATAGCATTCATGACTGTGGCCATCATCCCTGAACTGTAGTACCTCACTTACATGATGATGTTGACAAGAGCGCTACGGAATGATTCCCTGTCCTTCTTAACAGCATATGAAGCACCTCCCTTTCTACCATTTGTGCCAGGAGGAGGACTGGGTGAAGATGGAGAGGTTTTTCCATTTGCAGCATCCCAAGTCTTGCTGCGTACATGTTTTGCTTTTTTGCCAAAACCTGTTATCATAAGCAGAAATAAATTGGACCATGCAATTAACAAAATGTATTCTTGAGGTGAACATTGTATACACTAGGCTAACTGTTACAGATTATTCCAGAGTCTCTTACACAAAGGAAAAACACTTAATATTCTAGCCTTTTGGGTAGTTGCTAAATATCCTGAAAAAGTAAGTTTACCTAGATTCTATAATTCTACTGTACAAGAGGGGAATTCATGACATAAAAAATGCTGTTTTTCCCTGATTTGGGATTATTGTTATATTTGCGAATGTCTCTTAATATTTTTTCACATATTCATTCATGTGATTCTGAACTATCCATAAACTCATTGACATCATCAGGTTATAACTTCAGTTCTCAACAAGTGATTGGCATGTGGCAGTCAAAAAGCAAACTTGGGAGTTGGGGATGGGATCCAAAATCAAACAACTCCTGATTTCACCTCTCTAAAACTTCACATCTCTCCAACATTCAATCCAAAGCTTTTCTCAACCTTATCAACATCCAGACTTAATTAACTAGTGCTGACTAAGTGAACCATTTAAATATAACATTGAACCTGACCTAATGAATGACTTTCTTCCTCTGCATCAGCTGCAAGTCTTTTGTTAGCACTTAGCTGAAAAGATGGTGCAGTCTGTTGCCATGCTGGCTTGTTGCGAGTCTGAAAATAATCACAACACACCATGAATACCATTAAAATATGTTATAATATTATAGGAAAATTCATTACCTGACGAGGGAATTCCGTGTTAAATTGCACGCGAAAACCGATATTGCACGAATCACAAAGCGATGAGTGCGATATTGGTTTTCAAGTGGAATTTAATGCAGAATTCACGAGTCAGGTAATGAATTTTCCTTGAATCACATCATTGAACTAAAATAGGAAAACAAGAAAACAGCAATTATAATAATTATTGTTTGTTTTCATCCTGGGCACGCACTCGAGAAAGCCATTTTGAAGTCAACTGTCAGAACTGTCATTGCGTTAGCGAATAGAAAGCAAGGTCAGTCGTGCATGTTAGAACCTTTGACATCTTTTATTTGAACCTCGTTTTTACATTTGGTTTCAAAATTTTTAAACAAGCTTCACACTATTTAAGGATTATGGTGGTACTTCACTGCATTTACAAGCCATTTATTTTTTAACATCTTTTTTTCAAATTTCCACTGAATTTGCTTGAGAAGGAAAATAATTTACACCTCTCTTTGGTGACAAAACAGAAAGAAATGAAGTGTGGAAGCGAAAGCACTGAAAGTTTAACATCGCGATTAATATAAGGTGAGTACCTTGAAGTGTAAATATGTGCACTGATCGATATTTTACTCTTTTAAAAACAAAGAAGTGTTTCATGAAAAGTCCAAAAACTCTGATCTTTTTATTTGTAGAAATTCACTACAGGCAACTGCCATTAGCTGAGTCATTGGGATGAGCATTTGACTGAAAGTTGATGGAAATAATCACTGGAGAGTTGTTGAACGATACATTGGTGAACAATCCACCTAGAAATCTTGCTGTTAGACCATCACTGCTGTTATTCATTGCCATTGTGTTATTACCAACTACTAATTATAGAAGTGCAAGACTGTTGACATCAATTTCTCGCAAAGCTTCAGTGCGTGGACCGCCACTGCCATTAGCACCTGTGACAGTCGTAATGGTACGACTGAAAACTCAGCCAACTTGCTTGACATCCTCCATTGTTTTTCTAAAAGATTATGGCTGTAGGTGGATATTGAACACAGGTTGGCGTGACCTGTTAGCTTGGAGATTGTTTTTTCTGGGCTGCAGTGTTCACAGGATTTTCACGCTTTTGCATTGTCGCGAGCAAAAGAGGTTTCTCATGCCTCTCCAAGAATTTATAGTTCCATTCAAAACAAGGGAGAACCTCAGGCTCACTTTCAATTGAAAAATGCTTTTTTTGTTTTTGGCTCTTTAAAAGGTGACAATGCTTTTGAAAACATTTTAAATTGTCTTAGAAACCAAACTTTGTAACAATTTGACCATAGTTGTTTATGCTTATGTAGATGCAAAACAATATCACTTAGCCTCGTTTTCAACTTGCAATTCCACGCTAAATACCTCCCTACCTTAACCAATCAGAATGCAAGATTGTATTCCATGATGCAATTCTATTGGAAAATTCATTACCTGATGAGGGAATTCTGCGTTAGATTGCACGCGAAAACCGATATCGCATGAATCGCGAAGTGATGAGTGCAATATCGGTTTTCAAGTGCAATTTAACGCGGAATTCATGAGTCAGGTAATGAATTTTCCTTGAATCGTATAAGTGAATGAAAATAAGAAAATAAGAAAACAAGAAATTAAATTGGCAATATTATTTTTTTTTTTTAATTACAAAGATTAAAATAAATAATAATGATAATAATAAATTGTTCTTGGTGGGGCTACAGCCCACTCAACCCCATAGCTCCGCGGTCCCCGTATTAAAGGCGCAAACCGGAAATGAAAAAGTCCCCTTCGAACCGCACTTGGCAGTCAGCCTGAAGTCAAACAGGATCAGGCCGGCGAGATGTTGTTCGATAAAGACTCATTAAAGAGTTTATACAAATAATTTAAAACGAGATATATAGGACTGGATGCTTTAGAATGGAGTTTTGACGAAATAAAGGATCGTGTCCGCTTTACTCGGCAACTTCACCTTTGATCCAACGTGACAATTGTCACGCAATTGAAACATTTTGCTTTTCCTCAAGACAGTATCGAGATAAAAAACAAAAACCTCATTGGCTTGAAAAAGAATTAAACGCTATTAAATACTGGTCATTATTCTTGTACATTTTATGTTGAAGCCGTCAAAAGAGCCCTTCCTACACCAGAACCGTTAGGCGGTACGATTTCTACAACTGATTTGCATCATGCAAATTCGTGACCTCTGGCCACAGTGTGTCGCAAAGCTTTATGTTTTGCCGGCACGTTTCTGAATTACCCAAATTTTTTATTACATATTATTTTAGTATAAGGACCAAACTTTGTGCCAGCATGTAGTTTGACATGATGCCACACATACCAAGACACGTTTTGAAGGTTTGAAGCTGGTCGATTTTTCGCTTTTTGCAAAAAGCGAAAAATATATTCTAATTCATTTTCATTTTCATATATTCTAATTCATTAATCTTTAAGCTTGGTCGCCATTTTGAGAGATTGTCATTGTGCACCGTGAAGGCGGATTTAAAGCCATGGGAAAATAAAGAGATCTGATCAAACGGATCGTGGTTTTGGTATAAGCACACAACTGACTTACAGCACACAAGAAATGAGCGAAAACTGTAATTTCTCAATCCGGCTTAACTTCACGCCGGGAATTTCCACTTCGTAATCCGTAAGGGATGAGACTGGTTTCTCTTGTACCACTGCATGATTAAATTGGCCTTCTGAAGTGAAGTTTCGTTATAAGACAACAAAGAGAAAATGCAAAATGTTTTTTTTTCCTGATGCAATCAATTTATTATACGTGTGAGAGAGTTTGTAGCTTTTACATGAAAGCAACCTTTGTAACATATATAGGCCAACTAGTTACGAGAGAGAAACAATCGGATATCATTCAGTATATCCCTGTATAGTTACGTTGTTTCTGTCCACAGTCATGAAGCAGACAAACTTATAATCAAGGTAGCCGTTTACAGCTTTTCGTGGGTCACGGATATAGTTTCCTGCTCCATCTAAATTTGTGGCAGGAGTTTGTCCAGCTTTGTGTGACCAGTATCCGTTATTATCCAGTCGGTAAAAGTGAAAATCACGATCGAAAAAAGAATTTGGATTGCCTGTGAAAAAAGAAAGAACAAAACTGAGCTGAAATTTTTAAGAAATACGTAGGTGTGAAGTACGATATTGCCTGTGATCTCTACGAAAATGTGTGATGTACGGTACCCGTATTCTCCTTGTGTCTTGGTCATTTTCGATTTTTTGAATTCCAAAACAAGATAGGTAAAGTAGAATAGTAAAAATAGTACTGTAATAGTATGGTAGGCTGCCTTCCTTTATAAGAGTATAAGCTAAATATAAATATATTTTTAAAGGCCAAATTTGGTTATCCAACGATGCACCTGTACTCACCAATGTAGACAAACAGTGCAATCAGGTGTTCAGGTCCCATTGGGGCGCACATGTGTTTCTTGGTCACCTGGGTAACACAGCCATCAGCCTCTGTAGCTCGTTTCATGTCTTGGGCAGTAAATCTAAAAGGGTATGGCTGTCCCGCTCCAAAGCCAGGTTGTGCAAAGGTGTTATTCCGGATTGTGCTTGCATAGTTGTAGCAGTTGTTATCCCGCACATGAGCTGGTCCGTTCCAATAACTCGGGTTGTACCACGGAGCATATCGATTCCTTCTCCTTCTCACCGCAGATACATTTCCATTTCGGATTTCCATTTCCACGATGTTTCGCACATTGGACGATAACTTGCCTTCTGGGCTGCTCTGAAGTAACTTCAGTTGTAAGCTCTCTGTCTCAGAACCAACCACTAACTTTGGCGATCTTTTCTGTCCTTGTTTTGTTTCTTGTACCACAAATCCCTGGTATCCGAGTTTTGAGGGGGCTTCGTCTGGCTGGTACGTTGTGGCATCGTCTAATGAAGCTATGATGTCTTGGTAATGTGAGTTACCCTGTTGGACCGTCCAGCTTGGGTCGCGTACGCCAGAAAACACTTCTAGCACGACGTTAAGGCTGTCTGGACGAAACAAATGAGTTAAGGAAATCAGTTGAATCACATCAGCATATATGTTAATCTAGATCTGTTTTACCTCCACTGCTGTCATTTTTCTTTTTGCGTCCTTTGGGTTTCTTTCCTGTTGAAAAATGAAAGATAACAGTGGTGACAAACTTTGGGAAGACAAAAGCCTTGGTCAGGTATTGTTTTTTCAACTTTCCAGTAAAATTTGAAATTGTAACAGACAACAAAAATCAGGTCAGTTGTTTAGAGTTGGGGGAGACTAAATGATCACTCCATTCCGAAGGGTTATCTTGGTGAATTAGTAGCAAAAAATTATCTGAGAAAATTCTCTTTAAATTGATCAGATGCAATTTGTGAATAGGAATTAAACAGGAAAACACCATCTTTAACCTTGTGCTATTCCCTGAACAAAGACAATGATAAGCATCACTAAAACGATCCAACGCCACATTTTGCGTTGTGACATCAACCTGCTTTGGAATGCTCCTTTTTGATCTCGCTAATTCCAGAATATGACTACCGGACGAATAAGCTAACTCCTTCTTTATACCAAGACGGGATAGATTCTTGGGTGGGCGTTTGAGTACTCTGAGTAATGCATAAGTGCGTGGGTTCTTAGAATTATTCGCCGAGCAAAGGTACATGTCCCACTAAAAATGATTTGTTACCTACATAGTCTTATGATGTCTGTGACTGACCTTTTAGATGTACTATTTAATATTTTTTTCTCACTTCAGAAAGATATAGTCCCTAAAAGAAGTCACTAAATCCTATTGTAGACCACGTAAAATGTAACGTAGGCGTTGAAATGTTCTAGCTGAAGAACCAGTTGATTGACAAGCGCGCATCAGGACAGAAATATCCCACGAATTGCTTTATTGTGTTGAGGGCATATCGATCTTTCGCATGAAAGATAACGTGGAATTCCCTGCATTATTGTTCATTGCCAAGCTCCAATCTCCGATTAGAGTTGGAGCAATGAAGCAGCGAGAGCTAAAGGAACGTTCATTACAACTGCCTTCTTTATAATAAACCACATGTTAAAAACGCCAGTTACACTAGCTATGATCTTTCCGGCCTTGGTCTATTTTGCGTCATGCGATAGCGATCGAAAATTTCGCCCGAGTCTTTGGATAGTCCTCTATTATTGTATAAGTGTCACTAGTATCAGTTAGCACAAAGCCACTGGCTTAAACAATGCAAGTATGTCCCTGGCTTATATTTTTACCGTGGAAAAAACTCCCACTAAAAGATATGTTTAAAATTATGGTGAAGTTACGCTGTTGAACAGAGATTTTCGGAGACTTCAGCAGAGGATCCTGTAATTTCTTAGCTAACCAGTGTTGTTTTAAGTGCCGTTTTATAACCTTGTCATAAGTCTGTCGAAGAGTACGCCCAAGTCCTCGGGGAAAGTCCCTCTACACTGCATTCATTCTATTGTCTGCTATAACAATGGTTATAGTAAGGTACTTGAAATTGTTCAAACTATGATTTTTACTACATAGGAAAAAGTTGAGACAGCAATTATTTTTATATTAAAGCATTATATAAATGTATTGACAGGCCTCCACGATTACTGGAGTTAGCATATAAAATAATTGCACGAGGACTCTTTTTCTTTAACTCATCTCTAATTGACAATCCCGTCTTTATATTTCCCTTTGAGGCATGAAATAATGGAGGTTCCTAAGAGGCTTCTCTACATGGTCGGTCGTTCAATTGTCAAACATCATATTCTGTGTTTGAAGCTTAAGTAGACATTTAAACAAACGTCCATAACACGGTGTTCCATTTCTATTTTCTAAGTATTTATCATTGCAATAGATGATAGCCTTTTGAGAAGTCATAGTACACTAAGTATTCCAACGATTCACGTTCATCATTCTTGAAGTGTGTCAGTCTACTTTACCTCCCCTCTTAAGATGTTGTATTTCTGCTCACAAGACTTTGTAAGGTTATATGTAAGTCGCTAATGTGTTGAAGCAGGCTTTTCTACACAAAACTGACAAAAATAAAAATTATTTGAGCGACACGAACGATTTGACCTCGAGAAGTTACGACTCCAGATATATAGCATTAAGTCAAGCAGCATTGATTTTAGTGTGTCGATATTTGAACCTGTTTCGAGCGCTTGCGCTTGCTGGTGGTCGTCTAACCTAAGAGCATGGTACAGGCTAACTCTATATAAACACACTCACAAGTAGTGGAGAGCAAAATAATGCAAGACTAACTAAGCATTCTATAGTGATAACTGAGAGAAGTTTAATTTTGTGCTACCGTTTGCATCTTATGAAACCGCATAAAATAGAAAAAAAAATGTAAATTGACAAATTCCATCAACTCGGACTTAACTAAAAAAACTTGAGCAGGGCTGATTTACGTTTACCAGTCAAAACTTTTTTCAGAGCAGAATAACAGAAATGATCCTTTTTTAACGGGTACTATAAGTAGGAGCACAAAGTTAGTGTCCAAAGAAATGAATGATATCGTCAATTATGAGACAAAATACTAATATGTATTAGTGGACTTCACAGTCATCTTCGTCAGGTGCCCTGAAATACTTGTGGGGTCAATTTTTAGCACAAGAGGTTCGGTTTAACTCAAACTGTGCCTGGTCGGTTTGGATGGCCGCAAAAGAGGAGTTTAACATCGACCAAATAAATTCGAGCTTTTTATATTGCGCTTTTTAATCAAGTGTGAAATTGTCTTGAGGGACAATGTGAAAAGCGAGACTAAAAATCATCGACAGGTCTGTATCTTTTACGGCACAACAGTTTACCACAGTTGATTATGCATATCTATGCCCTGAATATAATTTCTAGCTTCTTTGCGACAGGTTGACCTAGTAAGGTCTTTTCACACGACCCCACGCTTCGTTTGAATAAGTTAAAATTCGTTAAATTATGCATGTGACTACACATGCATATATCGTTAGACGCAGAGGAACGTTTTCAAGTCTACAACAGAAGCTTTGAAGTCCACATACACGTACGTCGTAAGAAGCAGAAATATTTCTAAGACATATTTTATTGCACAAGCTCTGATAGAAGGCATGGCGAACGTTTTCTTCACGGCTACCTTGGGATTGGTATTGTTTTGTTTTCAAGACATTGCTCATGGTAAGCAGTCAATAATGAGGAAAAAAATACGTAGTCACCAGACATTATGAGATCTTTTCTGAGTAGTAATTCGCTTCTTCTCGCTGAGAAGTAATCATGTGTAAGGAATAACAAAACTTTTTACAGGGCATCCACTGGAAAAAAAATCAAATTACAACGGGTTCCTAACAACATATAACAACGGGTTCCTACAACAGATAACTAAAAGTCATCTTGCGTTTGTTCTGCATGTGTCAGTTAAAATCAAATTGATTTACCCCTACATTTACTTATGTTTTTTGGTTCATTAACCGCAAACCAGTAGCCGGAGTAATTAAAAATGATTCTCGTCTCATTACTGGTCCCTGTTTATAATGATTGATACTCTTAGATATCCCACACCTCAAATATCTCAAGTTAGAATAAAACTGCTGATTTTCAAGGACCTTATAATTATATCTATTGCAAATCCTTTCAACTACGAAAATATTTTCTCGGTTACTCCAGTTAATCATTCCTGCAACCAACGTGCTTAAACGCTCACCGTTTGGCCAAGAAAGAAACACGTCAACAACGCACCATTTCATTTCCAAATTTGATTCACTTAATAACTTGACCATTTGTTTTGTTCCCTTGAGGGGTCAGTAGAGTTAAGTATGTCGACTGTACGCCATAAATGCAACTAGACGATGTAAGCAATGAGTTAAATATCTGTTTCCTGCTGTGCTTGGTGTGTAAAATAAACACAACCCATCCATCTCAACTCGATGTTTACTGAAAAAACATACTTTCTATTCATAGGAGTGGGACCCAATCCCTGCTTCCAAAGTTCCTGTTACATTATTTCTGATGCGGAATCACCGGGAACATGGACCGCGAACCGAGAAACCTGCCAAGGATAGGGAGGTGACCTGGTTTCCATTGAGACCGAAGCCGAATGGAGTTTCCTCAATGATGAACTTCAAAAGCGTTGCATTGGGCAGCCTAACGAATGGCACATTGGCCTGAATAAAGTGGGTGGAGTCTGGAAGTGGGTGAATAATAGCCCCCTGACAATAGAGAAATGGCAAACGACCCATGGCGAGCCTTCTGGTGATGGAAATAAAGCGGTGATGTCAAAGGATTACCCACCAACAAAGAAAGGGCTGTTTAATGATCTCCCAAACTGGATCAAAAGAGCTTACATTTGTGAAATACCCAGAGGTAAGGAAAGCTAAATAAACTTTAGTCCCTGCCAAACGGATCGAGCCATAAAAAGCTATTTAAAAGTAACCTACGAGAAAGTAGTCTTAGCATCTTAGTATTAAAAAATTGAACTGGTAAAAACTTTAATTTTTCAAAGGGAAAAGACAAATTATAATCTTCTGTACTATTGGATGGAGCATAACTAAGAATGATTTGTTCTCCAATACGATTCCCTCCCTTTTTTTGTGCTCCTTAAAAATCATTATATGTTTTCAAGAATTTCGTCCATAGTGTTTGTTTATTACGATGAAGCCGAAATTTTCTGGTGGAAGTCAAATGGCTCTTGAATCACCTTTTCAGCCAAACAGAATCGTGACTTTTTGTGATTTAATTTCTAACTATAAAGAGATCAATTGCCATTTCGATTCTTTCCTCCTTAGATTCCTCATGAAATTGGCAAACATATGGTAGCTCAGAGCATGATGGAGATCTCTTTTGATTCTGACTACTCACTTCAAATCTGTCTCATTTTCTAATGAACAACAAAAGTGGAATGAGTAACAAATGAGTAACCAACCACTTCTTTTTGGAGTTTGAGTTATTGTTTCTATGAATTCTTATTGATACTTTATAGTTATTAAAGGCTACAAAAACTTAAGAAAACATCGCGCAGAGTGAGGCGACTTCATTCGGGACTTTCGTGCGTGACGTTCGCTAAATTTAAATCGACCAAACATTTCAGACGGTCAGACAATCAAGAAATGGCCTGAAAATAGGTAACTGTGGGCAGGTTTCGTAAAGCCCCGGTCACTGTTTAAAACCAAATTATGTTTTTTTTCCCTTTATCATAATTAATTTCTTTTAACATAAGGCTTGTAGCCTTCTTAATCCTAAACTCTGACTTAGATTTTCCCCTATACGTTCCGCCGTTTACAAAGTGAACTTTCAAAAAGCTGCTTTGCAATTATATCATGATGTTTGAACGTAACCTGCCTGCATGCTCTCATCGGCGTTAAAGCACGAGTTGCGAAGCCCGAAAGATTCAAGCCGTTGAGGGACGCGAGCGTGGTGAAGGTTTGACCCATGTGGCACGCATAAAAGAGACATTTTCGCGCCAGAACCCTTGCAGAATCCTTGCAGAACCCTAGCGAAACCCTTACAGAGCCCTCGTACGCTTGCAGCGCTTGCTGCCTCGAAACCTGCGGGAATCGCGCTCCCGTCGAAGCACCAAGAGAGCAAACTTACAGGCCACGGATGTGTAGATATTCCCTGTTGCCCTTGAACGAACCCGCAGCGATAGTTTAAGTTTGGGTTCCTTTGTGATAGCGTGCGGGTAGGGATGGTAACCTTGAAAGATATTTGGAGTATAGACCTCAACACGGTTGGATGGCCAACTTCATCTCATTTCAGCAGTTGCGCTTGTACCATGCTTTATTGTTTCATCTTTCCCTTTAACATATTTGGAAGGGTTGTTCGAAGCCGGGTTAACCCAGGGCTAGCGTGAAATTTGATCTCAGATCAGAAAGCTTTCAAAGAAAATTCAGTATGGTTCTTTTTGTCTACGATTTGGTGCTTGGATGCTTAAAAGGTATAGAGAAAATAATCCGAATCAAAGGCTCTGTGAGCCAACTCGTGAATTGGATTAACCAATGTAATTTATGTGTCGTCAATAGAAATTGATGTTTGATTTCCATACTGGGGTATGAATCGTTTTAAGAAGTGTTGGACTCGTAAATGAACGTTTTGAGGAATATGATGTGAAATTAAATTAGGCCTCAAAGACAGAAAATATGGTCTGAGTAGGAGTTAGGCACGGTAAGACAATCACCGTTTCAGATTTTACTGTAAAGGTTTGTGGAAAGAAAGTTCAAAAGGGAGCTGTTTTGTTTATCGAAAACTGAATACTGTTGCAATATTAAGCTCGGTATTTACATGCGATGTAAGCATAGGGATATGCATATAAAACTTATGCGCTGGATGGGACGCTCGGACATAAGGATAAGCATATATGCATAAGATTATCAAATAGATGAGTTCTTTTTATGCTCATGCCGTCTTTTGAGGACTTGGTTGGCATAAGAATAAGCATAAACATAAGCGAAAGACTTTCAGGCAATCAGCGAGCACTATCCTGCTTATACCAACCATGTCCTTATTTAACATATCATTGAACTTATGCTCGTGTTCATTCACTGCAGTTCCCACTTATGAAATAATCCTTTGCGCAAGAAAAAGAATGAAGGAAAATGTTTCTTTTAATTTTCTTGTGCTTATGAAGGCTGCTGCATGTATAACGGGGGGCCTGGTCGTCTGATGCCATGTTTTCACGAAAGAGGTTTACCAAGGTTACCGCTTACCGAGGTTTGGTAACTAAACCACAGTTATTAGAGAAGCTGTTTACACAGAACTAAATAACTTAACTAGGTTTGAGGTCTTCTTGGGAAGCCCGGTATCGGAATGTACAGAAACCAATCAGAAAGTAAGAAATGTCTGACTTTACCAAAGGAATACTTCAGTGCTGAAGTAAGGTTGTTCAGGATTTGCAGGCTGTGATGATAACGAGCTAAACTCAGTCCTAAGTTATATAAAGCTTTGCAGATAAATATTCATTGGAAAGAAACTTTTTATTTCCCGCAGAACATTTTTTCTTTCACAAAAAATTTGAAACGACTTCTGCCGCGGAGCCGGGCTGTGTAGATGTTTAGCAGTACATGTACTTCTTCTTATTCGTGGCCACCTTAAAGTCCCAATGACAATTATTTTTTTATTATTTTACATCTAAATATAATGACTCTAGAACATGTTTTAGCAACATTAGCGGTATTTTACCGTTTTTGAAATTTTTATCAAGCTCTATAATCTGTAGATAAAATGTCTGGCCGCTATATCACCATGTGTTCTTATCATGCAAACAAGTGGGCTTTGTGATCAGTAATTTACCTGGCTATTTCGGTGATGGTTTCGTGTCATTATGTCCGATATTTATTGTTGTTCTGACGAAAGTTTCCTCTCCGATGACTCGGACTTTAATTATATTCCGGAATACGTGGCGATTCAATTCGAAATTGCAACTCAAAGCGGTAAGATGGAGGACAGGGAGGACAACATAGAAAGGCCAAATTCAAACGAGCCATTAGCGCATCGAAAAAAATAGGTCCGCAATGCGTACATGCTTCTAGTGCGGGAATATGATCTACCTACTTACACTAATGTGAATGGTTGATACATGTATTTCAATTCATATACTTGAAGAGAGTTCTGTAGAGAGTAGGTCCAGTATGTTTTAACTGAAGTGCCGCAGGTCCCGATGAAAGTGTTCCGTAAAGGAAGTTTATCATGAAATGAGCATTTTTTTTTTTCCAGAAATAATTGTATTCTTTATCAAATTCAACTCTTTGCCTGTCAGACCTTAACATGAACATAACGTGTTATATGTTATAGTAAACTAACTGTTTTTCTATCAACAACCATTACTTTCCTCACTGATTCAGTTAACAGTAGTAATTTTGAAAATCAATTAGGTACCAGGTCTCATAGGAGCTGGTTAGTTGCTTGCATAATGATCCACAGGATTTCGGTCAAAATTTAACATCAACATGAACATAATGTGGTAACCTCAGATGTAATGAACTTAAAACTTGGAGTGTACCCAATAGGTAAAGGAGTGCTGCCCAGATGTAATGTATCTAATAAGGTCANAAAAACTAAGATATTCAAATGAAAGATCAACTAAATTCAGACTGCCAAGGGGAATGTGATTTAGAAACAAATGAAACTGAAGAAAATCAAGAATGTTTTCTTAAGTCTGAGGAAGAAGAGGCTCTAACCAAAATTTGGAGTAGGAAGAGGTCAGTGCGGCCTCCGTGGAGGATGGAAGACTTTTTCTAACCGCAAAGTTTAAAACCCATCGAACAAATCTCATAATTGGTCGAACAAGACTGTTCAATCATGCTTCACTAGCAATTAAACTGAAGGCTCAAAATGCAAACGGTTCATGTTACTACGGCAGCGCCGTAGTAAGGATAGGAGCATTTGTGGTCAGCGGTTACACCACCTTTTTTTATGAACTCGTGCTAGTTACTGCCAAGTTGTTGTCATGACATGTTAGTGAGATCCAAGTAATCTTTCGCTCATCCGTGTATTTTAAGGCGACTAAGTTGTTATCTCAAGAAGATTTGTTACTTCAAAGCCAGATCCCAGGATTAACATTTCTCTTTTTCTTGCGAATAACAACGAAACTCCTTCGGATGCGAATCGACTTTCGAGGGCAGCCACAGTTCAACAATTGATGTACTAACTATTAATACTTAGTTCTAATTACGTCAAAAAGGGAAAGTAAGTACGAATACAGAACAAGCAAACTCTAAACGTTACGTCTACTTCTTGATTTTTTCATTTGATTTTGAACTGGCAATAGCTATTACATTACATAGTGAGCTGAGACTTTCGTCTCTATGACGAGATGTCAGAAGCGACGATCAAACTGTGATAACCCGGTTAGTGAAACTTCGTTTAATAAGAACACTGACTAGTAGTAGCTTTCATCGGGAACTAATGATCTCCAGCCAAAACAAAGGCCAGCCGAAATGAACAACAATATTAACTTTTAGCTCTGTTTGAAAGTTAAACCTGGGTTTCTCATCCTCTTGATTAACCTGAAGACGGGAGCAACACAATGGAGGGCGGGAGTCGGGAGTGTAGGGAGGACACAAGGTTGCTCGTCGGGAGAGCATGGCACGGGAAGCGGGAGACTCCGACCCCCCTGTCCCCCCCCCTCCCCCACAATTTTGGTGATTTCACGTTGTTGTTTTGCACAGGACGGCTAAGAAATGTACAAAGTTTTAAAACGCACGTGCCGGGCTATTGTTCTGCCAATTAGATTTATTGTTTTTCCACGTTCTCGTTGCCGTAGCCGTTGCGGTTTGCTTAAAGTCCTTATATTGAAGTTGGTGGAGGCCGTGTGTATTTACAAGTTTATCGAAGTTGGCGGAGGCAGTGTGTATTTTCCAAGTTTGTTTAAGTTGGCGGAGGCCGTGTAAGTTTACTAAGTTACGTGCTAGCGTAGAGTTTATCGAGTGGAAACTACGTTCATTTTGGAATAAACCTTCTTGTTGCTGTTCCGACAACCCTGTGTTGGCATGTACCAAAACCCGAAGCACCGAAACGAAACCAAAACCGGAACCACCGAAACGAAACCAAAACTGGAACCACCGGAACCACCGGAACCACCGGAACCACCGGAACCACCGGAACCACCGGAACAAAACCACCGAAACAACTGGAATAGCCGAAACGAAACGAGATTACCGGAAGTACAGTTAAAAGGAGTC